AAGAATGTCAGAGGCTGTGTGACTTATAAAAATATCTGACTTGGTTCTGAAGAAGACTAGGAAGTTCAAGAACATGGAAATGGCGTCCGCTTGGCTTCTGATGAGGGTCTCGTAGCCGTAAACCAAGTGGGACCCTGAAGAAAAGGAAAAGGGAAGATCAGGCACATGTAAGAGACAGAAGGGCTAAGGGCTATCCTCTTGACACATTTAACCCTCCCCAGAAGGAAAACTTTAACTCACTTCCAGGGGCTCTACTCTCTTGAATATCCAAACACCCCCACTAGGCCCTACCTCTCAACACTGTGTCATTGAAGAATTAAGCCTCAACATGAATTAAAACAAGTTTCAAATAACTGGGCCCGGGAAGTTTAATCTAAGTGAGAGAGGAAGTTTAGACCAGAAGCAGATGTAGGTGGGTGGAGCAGAAAGGTTTCTCTCTCCACTGAAGCTGGGAGCCGGGAGGTACAGACTCAGAAATGCAGGAATCTACTTAAGCTTATTCCTTATTAGGAGAGAGAGTCTTATGTAAAACAATATGGTTTAGAATTAATGATAGTGAATTAATGATAGAATTTGTCCCAGCACTTGGGAGGCTGTGGCAGGAACACTTCTGCAAGACGGAAGTCTTTCAGGCCAGTTTGATGTACCCTTTCTCAAACCCTTTCTCAAAAACACAAAGACAAACATGCAAACAAACCCCCAAAATACCAATTTTGTTTTTTGATGTATTCTGGGACCTTTGTACTTAAAGTAGAACCCATGGACTAGCTACATTGTCGTTTCCTAGAAATCAGCCTCTCTGATCTTGTTCAAGATTTATCAAATCACAACCTACGTTTTAATCAGATTTCCTGGTGGCTTGTATTCAGACATTTTGAGAAGTATGGGCCAAGAAAGAATTGGTTTGGTTTAGAGGTCTTTAAAAGCTTCTTCTTCTTCTTTCTTTTTTTTTTTTTTTAACTAGGGAACTTCCAATAACATAGCATAGCCATATGAGAATCAAGTTATAAATTATCAAGGGTTTGTTGACCTGGTTGACTTTAAGATTAACAGCTTGAAGCTAATTATTTCAAGAGAATATGCAGCATGGAAGTGTGCAAGTGTTATAAATTCATTTCCTTTGTACTGTGGAACAAGTTGTTACGCTTTTCCTAGCACATCACTGCACAGTTCTGAATCTCCTAGTATAATCTGTAATTAAGCTAGTTTCCTAGAGAAACAGAGACGCTCCTGCCTTTGAGAGACAAGATAATACAAATTCTACTATGTCATTTGCAGAACTTTCAACCTTTACACTGAGATGCTACTATTCTGGCTATAAAATGTTAGCCATAACCTGATTCTGAAATGGCCATAACGTGGGAAGGGAACATAAACATTGGCAATACATAAAATCAAGGTAGGCAGGCCAGCATTGGAAACTGTGCCTATTAGTAACAGAATTTTGATGCTGAAACAGAAGTGTCTGAGTAAAGTTAGAGAAGATAACAGTAGCTCACTTGTTCATGAAAGGATTTTTTATTTTTATACAGAATAACCACTGCTCTCCAAGTTAACGTTAAACGTGTGCAAATGTTTCTTAGTTACTTAGGGAGTGTTTGTATGTATGGTCCCTCGGTCATTATATCAGTGTTACCCCAGAACCTATTGTAAATGCAAATGCTTAGGTTCCTACTCCAGACTTAAAGGATCATCGGATTTCAGGGTGGAGAGTGGGCAGTTGGAGTTCGATGAGGTCTTCTTAGTAATTCTTATACAGGAGTGAAAGAGAAAGAATTAGATTTCCTTATTTTTGTAAGATGAAAGAATCTTTTTTTTTCCTTTCAACTCTAACCTCAAACAGGAAGTAGCTTTTCTTCAAGTGCAAACTTCCTGATCAACTGGGGAATGCTTGAAGAAGTCTGAGGACCTGGATCAAAACAACTGCAGGCTTAAGCCATATTTAAATATTTTCCCCTCAGGGAAAGTCGCCAAGTAGGGAGGCTACTGGCGTTCTGCCATGACTCCTGGAGTGGCTAAGCCTTCCTAGAAAACAACTGGCAAATCTTTCATTTTAAGATGAACCACATAGACAAGCGACTTTGAAAATACTAATAAAAGCACTATCCTAGCATGTGTGGGAACAAGGATATTATGCATGATTTTCATAAGCAGATGCTTCATTGTTTTGTCAGTCTCACTAAGAATTTTATCTGGTTCTTTAATAATGACATTTAATATTCATTCAAGGTTGACTCTGTGACAGAACTATGATACAGTTGTCTGAAAATGATCTCATTGTTAGCCCCATGTCACAAATAAGGGATCGGGGCCCAGGGAGTTATAGCTACTTGCTCTATATTGCACACTCTCCGGTGGTGATATTGGAATTCAGAGGCAGGATGTTTGTCTCCAGAATATACCCCACTTAACCAAAATAGCTTTCTTCAGCAAGGAGAAATTCTTATGTATCAAACATTTAGAGGTTTGGTATATGTTATCTTTTCCTTACTGTGACCAAAATAACTGGCAGAAATGTCTTAAAGCAAGAATTTAGTTTGACTCATAGTTTTACAGGATTTGGCCAATCATAGCTGGGGAACACATAGCAGAGTGGTTTGTGCCATGACCAAAAGCAAGCAGAAAGAAGCCAGCACTCAGCTGCCAGCTGCCTTTCTCTTGTCTCCCCTTTGTTCTGTCAGAGCTCACAGGGCTCACAACCCAAAGGACAGTGCTACCCACATTCAGGATGTGTTTGCCCCATCAATTAATTCTCTCAAGACATATCCTCACAGAAACACCCAGAGGTATGCCTCAGTCTCCTATATAATTCTAAATCCAGTCAAGATGATAATGAAGTCATGATCATTATAATGGAGTGCCCATTTCAGACTATATCTTTTAATTTATAATTTTTCTAAAGTCTTAAGCTATGAATATCATCTATCTATCTATCTATCTATCTATCTATCTATCTATCTGTAAATTTCTGAACTCTGGATCAGACTTGATTAATGCCATCAGATTCTGGTGACCAAAGAAGACAATCAGGCACATTGAACTTATACAGGATATTGTATTATTAATAATACTTTTGTAAGCTTATTACATTTTGTGAGTTCTGACTGAATGGTTGTATTCTCATGGTAGATATTTTCAGGTGAGGGCCAACTGACTCTGGCTATGGAAATGAAATGAGTCGAAGAGCCAGCAACAGGTGACCTTGCATACATCCTTAGACTGAATTATCCTTAAGTATCATGCGGTGACTGCCAGTTTTCCTGTTCTTCCTTATCTATGCCTATAAGTATAGCACTTGATACTTAGTAGTTGCTCACAATATGTGTGAAAAGAACAAAGAAGGAAAAGAGGACTAGCAGGAACAAAGTTATTAAAGTAGATTCAAGTTCTAAGTTTTTCTTTTTATTTATTTTTTAACAGTCATAGAGCTTTTGAAGCAACTGCTTACATGTTAACAAGAGCAGTCAATAAGTAACAGTCTTATTCATTTAGATGGCTACTAGGTATTAAATATAAAATAAAGCTTCTGGAAAATTCCAGCTTTGATCAGGTCCGTCTTCTGTGGGGTAGCTTCATGAAAGCAAGGAAAGTTTTGCAGGCTTGAAATTCTTACCAGGTCACTAATTCATGTATGCATATATTCCTTTTTTTCAACAAATATTTACTGCAGATCTTCCTTCCTGTGTGAGGCTGTGTATAGTATGTGCTAAGGTTACAAAAATGAAGGACATGATTGCTGCCCACGAAGAGCTCAAAGAGGTAGGGAGGTACATTGTGACAGATGAACAGCGCTGAGTTCTCTAAAAACCCACTAATTTGTCCACTTAGGTTGGTAAATTGTATTATATAGAAAAATAGGTCTCAGAATTATTTCAAATAAAAAATTACAACTCTGTTATTATTCAAAAATAGGAAAAAATGGCTCAGTCCTGGAAGTATGAAAGGAGACTGCCAACAATGAGTGAAGTCTGAGTTGAAATCTTAAGGAAAAAAATACTGTTAATGTGATACGTGATAATTCAAGCAAAAGCCACAGAGGAAAAATGTCACAGAGGTGAGAAATGTGTGTCTTCTCCCCACTCTTCCTCCCTTCCCTTCGTGTGTGTGTGTGTGTGTGTGTGTGTGTGTGTACACACTCGCATGTGTGTTAGGAAGGTTGTTGGTTGAGGAGGTAGGCAGATGCCATAAGTGAGCCTTTGGAAATGGCCAATCACTGGAGGGGTTTATTCTTATGAATTGATTTAATTCGTGATCAGACTTAGTTTAGAGAAACCACACAGGCAGATGTGACATAACGGACTTTTTTTGGGGGGTGGGGTGGGTGGCATGGAGGGGTCAGAATAACCTGTGCATGGGTCTCTGATTGGCTATGTACAACAAAAACAAAAACAGACAAACACCAAGAACCAAAACAAAACTCTAGATGTGTTTCCAAAACGCCAAGTACTGTACTGCTCGTTAGGTCCTACCAGCTTGCCAGCAGCTGGAAACCAAAAAGCAGACCGATGAAATATTAAGGTTTGCCTGAAAGCGGGTGAGTGAGCGGGACCTCCTGGCCCGCCTTGTGTTTTCTCTATGCTTTCAAGAAGACTGAACTCAGAGGTGCGCACAAGCTAGCCCGGCGCACGGTCGCCTAGCAATGCTCATTTTAAAGAAAAAAGCCTAATCTTAACAAGGCTGAGACTGTATTGAAGGAAGCTGGGGACACTCCAGGTTTTTCAAGACTTTAGGCAGAGAACTAAGTTCCCTTTGTTTAAATGATCGTCCTGAGTACATCTGCAGGGTCAAAAATTAAAAATAAGAAGGAATGAATAATACAGCCTTTTTAACAAAGCCACTTTTTCCCTGAAGTTTGATAAGCCTTTGAGCCGGAACCACGTAAGGCAGTCCCAGGCGGGGAACCGACAGGAACCGCGCCACGAGGGTACTTAAGCCAGGTCGTCCCCGCCCTACTCCTCTGCTCCTACAAACACCGTCCCCCTTTGGCAGCTTCTGAGCGGAACCTTTCTCGCGTTTAGGTGCAGTTGAAACCGGGAACCAATTTCGTAGCACAATCTGGAACAGTCAACATGGCGGCGGCCATAAGGCACCTCCGTAGAGGTAAGACAAACCAACCCGCGTTCTTGCATGGAAAGTAAATCTAGAGCCGATTCTCTTGTTGCAGCGGAGTACATGCCAGAATCTCGCAGGCACCGCTCAGCTCTGGGTACTCGAAATGCATTCATGTTCTTCTGGGCTCCACTGCTTAAAAGCGACCCTTAACGCAAGGTTTCTCTCTTGGAGCAGGTCATTCTGAGGATGAAATGGGAGGGAAAATACATTGGCAGTCCTTTCAGTCAAGGATGAGGAATACAAGGCAGGATTCTGTCCTGGGGGGGGGGGGGGCCGGGCGGGAAGGAGGGACAGAGGGACGGAGGGACGGAGGGACAGAGGGAGAGGGGATGTGTTTAGTTTGGTAAGTGAGTCCTGGAGGGAAAGGTGGTATATGAAGTGGTTTACATACATCTGAACCTTGGAGTTTTTATTGTTGCTTTGTGAATAAAGGTGATTCCAGTTCTTAAATTTACAGAGGTTATCATATTTATTATTTGGAGATTAATTTTGTAGTGTTTCTTTTTTCAGTAACAAGTCAAGTCTAATTTAATACTCTGCCTTTTTACTTTTTAAGGACAATGATTATAAATATCATTTTCCATTGAAATCAGGTCTTTAAATAGACGAAACGGCCTGCACCACTCCGTTTTAATAGGAAGAAACCAATTCCATTTGGCGCGTAACTAAATTCATCTATTAAATGGCAGGGAAGAATTGAAGGTTGTGATTTATTTTGTGGTGTTGGGTTTGGAATCTAGGATGTCAAACATGCTAGGTAAATCTCTACCAGTGAGCTACACACCTCTCCCTACTCTCCCTAGTCAATGTTGTATCCATTTTCACTTTTAACTTTTCTCAGGAAAGTTCAATGTCAGCATCTTTATTTAGGATGTTTCTTCAAAAGTTAGGGGTGACAGATCACAACACACCCCAATGACTACTAAATAAGCAAACCAGAATATGTTATTACTGGAAAGAAATTGAGGGTGTTACCTTCATATATGATAGAAAGCACATTAGACAAAAATGAAGCCAAGAAGAGAACCGAAGATTTTACATTTTCGTCACTTTTCCCTCTCTTAGCCTCCAGGATACATACTAATGTTCTCATCATCCCACCTGCCACTGCTCACATTAACTGGTCGGCTTGTCTTCTCCGTAGTCTGTCTCCTTGTACTGGGAGACAGTTTTCTTCATCTCCTTTGATAAAAGTTGCATACTTTCAGTTGTCCAGGCCACACCCTCAGAGTATCTTTGACTCTTTTCTTCCTCACACTTTGCATTAAGTAGTTGACAAATCCTGTTTGCTTTACTTCTAAATTGATCCAGACAATTCGGTTTTGGTATGTGTGTGTGTTCGTGTTCATGTGCATGTGTGTGTGTACGTGAGTGTTGTTGAGAATTTTTGGAGTCAAGGTCTTGCTTTGTCTAACACCTAACTGGCTTGGTCTTGTATTTACTAACAAGCCCAGGCTGGCTTTGAACTTGAGAAAGTCCTTTTTCTCTCAGCCTCCTAAATGCTATTAACCTAAACTCTTGACTTCTCATGGTAAGATTCCAACTATCTTGTTCGAAATCAACAGCATTCCTCTGTAGACTCTAAATATGTACTAGATTGGTTCTTTAAGAACTTAAGCTGGAGTGTGTGTGTGTCTGTGTGTGTATAGAGGTAGCTCAGCAGTTGAGAGGATTTGTTGGCTCATAACTGTTCCAGTTCCAGATGATAATGACCCTCTCATCTGACCTCTAAAGGCAAAATACCTATACACATAAAATAAAAACTTAATGAATTAAAAAAAAAAAGACCTTAAGCTGATTGTGGTGGCACATGTTTCTTATTCCAGCACTTGGGAAGCAAAGTCAGGAGGATTGATGCAAGTTTGATGTCAGCCTGGACTCATAATGAATTCTCGGCCATGTAGGACTATAGTCTGAGACCTTATCATTTGGATTTAAATAAATAAAGAAACATTACAGAATAGCTTAATCATATTACTACTATGCTCAGAATTCTGAAAAGTCCCCCTCCCCCCCAAGTCTTTACAATGGCCTCTAACTGCACTGTCCATTTTGTGTACTCATGTCTGAGCACTTTAAACATGGCTAATACGAATTCAGAGTGCCGTATACACTATAAGATTTTTTTCATGAGTATATGTACTTGGTATATGTATATGTGTTCACTTGTGTGAGTGTGTATGTATGTGTGCACATGGAGGCTGGAGATTGATGTTGGCTCTCTTCTGCCAATCACTGTCCAGTCTGTTTCCAGAGGCAGAGTTTGTCACTGGACCTGGAGCTTGTGGATTCCCACTGTACCCAGAGAAGCCCCTGGAGGTGAGAGATGTTGCACGGTGCTTACTCAGCTTTTATGTGGGTGCCAGGAATCTGAATTTCATCCCTCATGCTTACATGGTGAGAACTCTGTCACCTTTCATATGAAATCCATCTTTTAAACTGCAAACAGCTTTCCCTCTTCTTTATCCTACAATCCTTTTCCTTCCTCTATTTATTGTTTTTGTCTCCAGGAACATATAAGCCCCATAACCTAGAGGTTTCTTATTCCAGTGTTTGTAAAACAATGATACTTAGATTATCCAGTTTATAAACCATATCTCTACAATAAAATCAGACACTGCTTTCTTGATTAGGTTTTGTTAAAAAAACAATTTGAGACAGGGTCAGGCTCCCACGTGTTGAGACAGAGTTGTCTCCAGCATGCCCATTATTAAAAGTGTTGTCAGTTGCATTGAACAATATAATTTAGTGGTTTGTTGTTTCACATACTAGTGTAGTCTTTATGTGGTTGCTGTTAGACGTCCACGGGCAGCTTAGAACAGTCCACACTAGACCAAATGGATCCAAGGGGGTGGGTTTATTCATGAGATAGGGCAAAGATGGGGGGGGGATGGGGAGAAGTAGAAGAAGATGGAAGAGGAGATCGAGGTCAGGGAGTTCTGCCTGTTTTATATGGGCAGTGACATAGCCTCTCCCAGGTAAAAGTGAGGTAGCCAGGTGGATTCTGGGAATGTATGGTGGTTGCCTTGGCAACGATGTGGGGGTCACCTAGATGTGATGTCACTGGGTTTGGAGCCTGATATCAACATACTTCCCTTTTTCTTATTATAAAGAGAAGAAAAAAAGGGGAAGGGAAGCCGATGGTGAAAGGGGAGTGGGGCAGTGTGTCTCTTAAACTACTTCCTGCTGTGTCCATTGTGGGGAGTAGCTGGCTTTCACCATCGGAGTCCACTTGATAGATGTGTGTATCAGGTTCCTCTGTGGACAGTGGCTGGTAAACCTGTAACAGGAACGGCATTCTTGGAGGAACCGGCGAAGACCATCTTCTTTAGCTGTCAGGACATCTGGCCCCCGTTGGTTCCGAAGCACCTCAGCTGGAATCCTGCGGGTCTTGTATGTAGAAAAAGAGTGTCTTGCAGTGTTGGTAGAAGAAATGGTTGGTCTATGATCCTAGCATATGTATCTGACAAGACCAGTATGGGCAGCCCCTATAATCGTCTGGCCAGTTTCTGCAATAATCTTCCACATAGTCAAAGAGAAAGCAAGTATAGAGAACATAATATTTAGATGGGAAAACAGATAGAGGGATGATAGCAATTTGGATTGGTTCTTGGCATCCGGCTATGGAGCAGTTTCCTGACCCTGTTTGGAAAGACTGTTTGTTATCTGTGGGGGTTTCTTGAACCTCGAATCTCCAGATGTAAGGGCTGACCTGAATAGGAACAAGCAGCAGGGGGAGGATGAGAAACCCATGTCTAGTCCAGTGAAGTTGAGCTCTGCTGTTGGAGTGGAGTCTCATTTTCTGGAATTGAGAACAAGGTGGGTGATTTCGATGTCCTCTGGAGCTTAATAGAGCACTGTCCTGTTAGGGTCGACATGTATGAAGAAGGTCGGTTTTAGATGGAGGGATGAAAGGTTTGAGGTGAGACAAGTAGACCCAATGCGGGAGTCCCTCGAGTTTAGCAGCTGTAGGGGTCACAAGAATTACCTTAAAAGGGCCCTGTCATTTGGGAGAGAGAGGTGAGGGCCGATGATCTGGAGAGGAGAGAAGGACTCGGTCTCCAATGTTGACAGGCAGTGGACAGGAGGCAGTGCATGGTTGAGGTAGATGGTGGTCAGCAAAGTTCCACAGGAGAGAACAGAGGTGGCAAAGTAGTGGGGTGAGCAGATGGTCTGGGAGGGGAAAGCATTTAGGTGAAAGACCAGGAGTTAGAACTGATCGTCCATACATGAGTTCAAAGGTTGAGATGAAGTAGGGCTGCTTGGGGAGAGCTCATAGCCTGAAAAGAGCCAGAGGTAAGAGTTTTACCCAGTCAAGATGAAGTTCCTGTGACAGCTTGACAAGAGTGGTTTTTAAAGGGTGGTTAGTTCTTTCTACCTTATCTGAAGATTGAGGGTGGTAGGGAATGTGAAAATGCCAGGGGATGTCTAGGGCGTTAGATAGAATTTGAGAAAGTTGGGAAGTAAATTCAGGACTATTGTCTAACTGAAGAGAGGCTGGGACACCAAATCGGGGGATGATCTCTTGGAGGAGATCAGAGACTGTCTGAGCCCTTTTGTTAGTTGTGGGAAAAGCCTCTATCCAGCCTGAGAAGGTGTCTACCAAGACCAGGAGGTACTTGGCACGTTTGACAGCGGGCATGTGGGTAAAGTCAAGTTGCCAGTCAGTTCCAGGAAGGGAACCTCTAGCCTGATGAGTAGGAAAAGGGGTGCTACTATACCTTGAGTTGGGATCTAATATCTGACAGATTTTGCAAGAAGCAGTGATAGATTTTAAGAAACTTAAGTCCTCAGGAGTAGGCTGTAGGTAGGTCTTAAAATAAGACAACGCTTGGCTGTTAGGATAAAAGAGGTGGTGAAAATAGGACAGAGTTTGACGAGTGTCAGGGGGTGTAGGTGGGGATGTGGGTTTCAGTGTAAGAATGTCCTGGGGAGAGTGAATTGAGTCTAGGCCCCTAAGGGCTGCAGCTCGAGCTGCCTCATCAGCTCGGTTGTTTCCCTTGGAGACTATAGAGTCATCCATCTGGTGGGATCTGCAGTGGACAATCCCAATAGCTGTGGGGAGATGGGAGGCCTTTAGCATGGCCATAATCTGGTTTGCATTAGTTATTGATCCTTTTTTTTGTGGTAAGTAACCCATGAGTTATCCATCTCATTGTTTTTGAAGCAGGGTCACTCACTAGAACCTGGAGTGTGTTGATTTTAGACTGGTCCACCAGAGAGTCACAGCAATCGGCCTTCTGTTTTTGGAATTACAAGGAAGAGTCACTGTGCCCAGTGTTTTACATGTGTGGTGGGGTGAATGCAGGTCCTCCTGCTTGCATGCAAGCACTTTGCTGATAGCAAGCTGTCTCCACAGCCTCAGTCATTAAGTTTTAAAAAGTGTATTTGATAAGCAGAAGTTTTTAACACTTAGTAAGCCACTTTTTGTGTAGTGCCTTTGGGCCTTGTTTGTGAAACTGTTCCTCCCCCTAAAGGCTATAAGGACATTTTCTTTTATTCCGGAAGGCTTTTAAGTATTAGCATTCACCTGTGAGTGGGTTTCTTCCCCCTCTGTAGTGGGAACTTAGGATAATTTTATTGTCAGGTCATTTATTTATTTATTTATTTATTTATTTACTAATCTGTCTTTCTGTGTTTGTGCCACTACCAACATAAAACTTTATAATGCCTTTAAAAAATGGATTTTAAAATTTTTGTTTCCAGATAGTTTCTCCTCATAGCAGTCCCAGCTGTACTGGAACTCTCTCTGTATATCAGGCTGATCTTGAACTCACAGAGATTTGCCTGCCTCTGCCTCCCGAGTGCTGGAGCTAAAGGCATGCACTACCATGACTGACTTAAATGAATTTTTATTTAGCATGCAAAGAAATGGGTTTCATTGAGATATTTCCATGCATATACAGTTATAATTGGCTTACTCTTTTTATCCTCTACACTCTTCCCTGCCCCTTCTAATGACAAGTCTTGATCTGGTAGGGCAAATTTCTCACTTTTTCTGCTTTTAGAAGAACTCACACAACTCTGTAAATGTATCATATTTAAAAATGAATAAATAAAATGGAAACTATTTTTAAAAATCTGGGGATACATATGTAATATTTCCTATTAATAAAAATAAAATAATCTATTGAGCTTAAATGAGATTAAGGTAAAAATAGATGGAGAGGGTGTAATGGCTCATGCCTATAATCAAATGTTGCTTGTGGTTCAGTCCAGCCTGGGCTACTTAGTGAGTTCCAGGTCAGGCTAACTACAGTGAGCTCCTGTCTCAAAACCCAAAACAAGTGAAGGGAAAAGCAGTTACATATTAGATGGCTCTCCTTGCTTTTAGTCTAAGTATAATTTTTGTATTTTATCTTTTCTTTTTAGTGATGCTGCTATGGAATATAGGACCTTGTATGTGCTAGGCGAGGAGCTCTGTCATTAAACTATGCCCTATTCCTGTTGTTAGATATTTTGTATGTTCGCATGTATGTGGTTTTGTGTTTGCTTTTATGTGGGGGATGGAGACATGTGTGCATTGCATGTGTAGAGGTCAGAGGACAACCTGGGGAGACAACTATCTTCTTTCCTTTGATCTCTTATTGGCCTGGAACTTGACTGTGTAGGTCAAGTTAGCTAGTCCGTAAACTTCTAGGGGTTTGTTTGTCTTCACCTGGCATCTCACTCTTCCCAGCATTACAGGCATGGGCCACCATACCCAGCTTTTCATGTGGATATGTAGATTCTGGGACGATCCACACTCAGATTCTGTTGCTTTTGAGGCAGCCCTGATGATTATATGGAATAAAAACCTAGCTCCCATTATTACACTTTTTAAAAGTGGTTAAGAATCACAAAATATTAGCTGCTTTAAAAAAAACTACTGGTTTTTATAATGCAAAAATGTATGAATCTGATGATTATTTAATGTTATTATTTTGTTTTTCTTTCCAAGTCTTGATACATCATCAAAGGCATAGTCTTTGCAAGATGGCTTACCAGACATCTCTTTACCCTTGTTCTGTAAACAGTCTCTTGCCCAACAGACATTTTGCTGCTGCTGCTACAAAGTAAGTATTTGTTTAGTTACTTCCTTCACTCTTAAAGTTGTGATTCAAAAGCAAGGTTCTATAAAGGCCATAGTTACACAAGCTTGTTACCTGTGCTCCTTGGAGTTCAGTGTTCTGAAGGAAAGGTGAGACTTATCAACAGTACTTACTAGCACTGTGAACTAATTACTCACTACTGCCTTTTAAAGCTGTTGTATTCATTTTAGGAGAAGAAAATCAAAGTTTCTTTCTTATTGCTATAAAACATTCTGGCAGAAGCAACTTAGGAGGAAAGGGTTTATTTGTAGCTGTTCCAAGCTACACCCTGTCCTTGTGGGGCAATGGAGGCGGTAGGAACTTGAAGCCAGTCACGGTTACTGACTAGAGCAGAGAGTTAGTGTGCTCTTCCTTCCTGTACCTATCTGCTGCCTCTTTTCACTCAGTCAGGCTCCTAGCCATGAAGTGCGTGAGTCTGCCTACCACACTTAACGGCTGAAGAGACTGCTACAGCGCAGGCCAGCACAACCCAGCACACTCCTCATCCAGACTTCCCAGCTAATCTTAGATGGTTTGCAGTTGACAATTAAAACTAACCATTCAAGATGAGATGAGAGAACCAGTCCAGGTCAGAGGACTGACCGGTAATGTCAGAATGAGGATTTGATCTAAACGACTTGGTTTAGTTCTGAAACTCATTTTTTTCTGCTCCTTAAATTATATTATTTTCTTCACGATGCTCTTTATAATTAGATGTTAAGGGATTACCGGTACTAGATATATATATTGGAATTTCAGATTTCTAGTGTTCATTGTGTTATGCAGAAGCACACACACGCACACGCACACACACACATATTTATAATTTTTTATGTAGAGTTTCAGCATATGGAAATACAAAGGGATGAAATTTGTTAAAAGCTGGTTTTGTATGGAGTTAGAACTCAGTGTTTTTATCCATAGATGCTGCTTCCATTGAACTGAATGAGGGAAGGGACCGACCGAAAGACACATGTTGACTCTTGCACTTAAGGTTTATGCCATCTGTCTGCTGGGCATGATGCTAATTGTTTTTTTTCCCTAAGGACATTGATGTTAATAAAGTGTAAAACAGACTATCCTCTTTTTCTGAATGTCTTTTTCCCTAATGTCACCATTTCTATAGTTAAAAGAAATGGCTAAGGGAGTAATAATTAAATGCCAAAGAGCTATAGAATATTAACAGTTACAATTTACAGAATCCTTATGCACTACGTAATAATAATTATTATAGCTGAGCACACTTCATGTGCTTGGTTATTTAATTGTCATAATGGTTATGAAGTATGGATACTATGATGAACATTTTTCAGATAGAGGAATGGAAAGCCAAAGATTAAATTTTATGTGGGTGTTTGGAATCTACATTTCAGTATTCATGAACAACATAATCTAGGACTAATTCAGTACAATGTAACTCAGGGTTAGGCAGTGTGGATGCGTTGGTGGAAAGACTGCCTTCAGAATTATTATCTAGTCTAAAAGAGTAGCGTTCATGGCTTTGGAAGGTGGGGTTTATCAGAGTTCAACCTACAGAATCATGGAGTACAACCCTTAGATTGTGGGATATCCAAAATAATTGGGAAATTTTAGGGGAATTTGTTAATTCCTGTTTGTTTAACATATTCTTACTTTTATAAACTTTGCCAACATAGTCTCTGTCCTCTATATGTGGGGCAGTATGTGAGATTTGGCCATGTGAGGATGAACAAGCTACCTGTTTTGATCCTCTGTCCTTGAGCATTTTAAAATAAACTGGAAGCAACACAAATATAGCTGGTTTTTATCTTTAAAAGTAATTATTTTAAATGTATTAGTTTATGATAAGCAATTAAAAGTGTGTGAATGTTAGTTACGGAGAAGTAGGTGGCTTTTAGCTGTTCAGTTGTACCAGTATATGCATTTTAAAGTAGGTATTTCTTGTTTGTTTAAGTGGTCATGTGTAAAGTAAGCATTTATGTTGTGGGAATAAATTCCTATGGTGCGGTTTAGTTATTTTAGCTATATAATATTTAGCTGTATAAAGGTACTATAATTTATGTAATTTAACTTTCTTATATTTCATTAACATAAATGACCCTCTACTGAATAATCATGTACTTGTCATATATAATGGAAGTATTTGGAAAATAAGCTCTAAGAAGTAGAATTCTTGGGTCAGAAAATATGTATATTTGTATTTGCAATTTTGAGAGATAAACCAAACTTATCTAGTTGACTTGTATTGGCTACAACACTTGTCTAGCATGTCAAGGCTCTGGATTCAGCCCTAGTACCAAAAGAAAAAAGAAAACAACTTGTCAGTTTGTATCCTTACTAGCGAGTCTTGTTAGAATGTATTTCTTTATATTTAGCGTAGGTAACTCTATTATCTTCTTTAGTTTTATAGGTAATAGGTGGAGTTGTGATTTTTAACATGTTTATGAGCCATTTCTATTTTCTTTCTTTAACTGAGCACCTTTTTTCTTTATGGGTTTTGTTGTTGATAAGTAAAACTTCTTACTGTATCATAAATTAAGTTTGTACTCTAACTTCCCTTAAATATTGTGACTATCGTATTAGAGAAATGGCTGAAGTGTGATGGGGTTGCTGGTGGGAGTTAAGCATACCTGAGGGCCAGCAGGGCAAGCAGTATTGACTGGGTCTTCAAAGTTAGAGTTTTACAGGAGAATTAAGGAAAATGTGTGTCAGTGGTGCCAAGTCATGGAAGCAAATGCTATGAACATTACTGCAGCTTAATAGTTTAATACTGCTTCCTATGGATACAAACGGAGCTAGCAGAAATGTTTGTTATTAGGAAGGAGGCTTTCTTTGGGTGTGACAGACAAGGAGCAGCTAGGGCCTTACATAGGCTAGGCATCTTCTCTGTCATTGAGCTGTGGCCCTGTACCCTGTTTTGGGTGCGAATGGTGCCTATATTCTGACTGGTCGTAGAGAAGGTAGAGGGGTGCAAGTTGTTTCTTTTACATCCTATCTAGCAGTGAAGAGTGCCAGTTCTCCACATTAGAAGTTACCAAGTTTTACGTTTCTTCATTGTATTTCTCACTTTCATCTTTTGCCCATTCTTCTGTTGGGCTGTTTGCCTTTTTATTTTTGCTATGTGCAAGTATTTATTTATCAGGTTTATTAATTTTTAAGAACATTTTAAAACATTTTCCTTTATCCTCTATAGAGAAAATTCTTATTATATCATTCCCAAATTTTACTGTAGTACAGTTTGATACTTTTTACTGGCATAAAAATCATAACATAAGAAATATGCCCACTTCAGAAAGTTATGAAAATTTGTCATAAGATTATTTAGTAACTTAATGGATGTGTTCATAATTTTAGTTGGAATCTTATTTTTAAATTCATTGACATCAGAATCTACTAAAAATAGTTCATGGACTCAAGATCTGAGGCATGGTAGTGCTTGCTTCTCTTTGTCAGTTTTTTCCATATTTTTTTTTAAATTTTATCAGGGTGGGCTCCGTCTTATGCCATGGGTCATAACCTGCACTAGTCATTGGTTGGCTACCCTCACAATTTCTGTGCTTTCTTTACCCCAGCACATCTTGTCGGCAAAACAAATTGTAGGCTGAAGGTTTTGTGGCTGGGTTGGTGTTCTAGTCTCTCTACTGGAAGTCTTGTCTAGTTCAGACTCTGTAGTCCCCATTTCTAGGAATCTTAGCTAGGACTGCCTCATCAATCCCTGGGCGTTTTCATTGCCCTTGGTTTCTGGCTTGTCCCAGAGATGCCCTTCATTCCAGTCTCTCCCCACGCCTGATCCCGCCTCTTCCCATCCATCTGTGTCCCCCACTACCCTCTTTGTTTTGTTTTTGTTTTGGTTTGGTTTGAGACAGAGGTCTGCCTGCTTCTGTTTTCTGACTGCTGGGATTAACATGCTTGAAATACTATGGGCTGCTCTGTTGTTCTGAACCTCTCCACCTCACTGGTGTGTAAGGATGAGTCTTCTGTTCCTTACAGCAGATCCTGCTTCTTCTTTTTCTGCCACTTGGTCATCTGAGTCTGGTTCTGTTTCTGTCTTGACAATGTAGTCTTTTTCTTGCTTCTTTGTGTATCTGTATTATTATTATCATCATCATTATCATCATCATCATTATTATATTAAATGCTGAAATGTCCAATGTAGAATAGACAAGTTGAAAGTAAATAGTAAATAGGCTTGTCATGTTGAGCCCGTGTAATCAGGGGCTGAGCTAGGTTAGGTTATGGTTTCCATGGTTACCACCAGTAGACATCTCTGTAGAGTTACTTTGTGCTCAGTATGGGGGTTGGGTCGTTGGGTTTTTCTTAGTGCTGTGCTTGGTGCTGTTTGCTGCTGTGCAGCTGCATCTCAGCAGGGACTTGCCCTCCCCTAGCATAAGCCATTGGTGCTCATTACCCAGTGTCTGTCTGTCTGGGAATGGGTAACAAGGGGAAGTCTCTGCAGTCTGGATTCCAACTTAGGGTGTGGTAGGCCCGCTGAGGCTGGGCTTTGGAGACAGGGCTTTTTGAGTCCACCTCTCCTTTCTTTCTGTTCTGTATCTACTGCAGGTTTGGGGGAAGTTCTGGCCCTCCCTTGGAATAGATAGTAAGTAGGCTGGGCTCCGTACTGTTTCCTGCCTTGACTCTAATTAATGGTAGAAATTTTAGTGATAGTTTTCTTCCATTCTAACAGAAACAGTGGGTGCTTGCTTGGGCCTTTCCTTCCTTCTGTACTATCTAAGGAGGCTCTCTAGTCTCCAGCCTGCTGGAGTCATTCCTGGGAGCATGTGGTGGTGGAGGTGTGTGGAAAGGCCTGTGACAGGACAAACTCCATGTGTTCTAGAGGAGTTAAATTGCCACACTAGCCTTTCAGTTTTCCTTACCTGCTTGCTTTTCTTTTATTCTGTCCCTGGGAGACATGATGAGAGCAAGGAGCAGCTGATTCTTTTTGGCAGTTGGCCACCTGCGTTCTCAGCTCTGTGGCGGGTCGAGGCAGGCTGGCAAGCTGTCACCTC